CACCAATACTCTCACCCACTTCCAAACTCATAAAACTAAAAAATGACATAGAAACATAGAATGTGACGGCAGATAAGAACCATTCGGCCCATCTAGTCTGCCCAATTTTCTATATACTTTCATTAGTCCCTGGTCTTATGCCTATCCCACGCATTCTTAAACTCCCTCACTGTGTTAACCTCTACCACTTCTGCTGAAATGCTATTCCATGCATCCACTACCCTCTCTGTAAAGTAGTACTTCCTAAAATTATTGTAATATGATAATTGTTGCATATACAGACATATAGAGTGTGTGTATATGTGTGTAGTATGTGCACATCAGTAGCAATGTGTAGACATGTGTACGACTGCATGTATTTGTGTTTGTGTAGAGTGTGTGCATAAGTGTGTGTTTGTAACAGTGTGGCAATCAGCATGTGCAGTAGTTTGTGTTTCAGTGTGTGTGTACAGAATGGGTAGTAGTATGTGTATGTCTGTGTGTGTGACAGTGTGGGTACCATGAGTAGCAGTTTGTGTAAGAGTATCTGTTTAGTAGCCGTATGTGCATCAGTGTGTGTAGTAGTGTATGTATTTAGAGTGGGAGCAGACTGAGAGTAGTGTGTGTGTGTGTGTGAACAGTGTGGGTACCTGAGCTGATATATGTGCACTTACAGTGTGGGTAGCGGAGTTGGGTGTGTGTTTAATGTGGGTAGCTGTGTTGCATGTGTACAGTGTGCTTAGTTGACCTGTGTATATGTGTGGGTAGCTGTGTTGTGTGTGCACAGTGTGGACAGCTGAGCTGTGTGTGTACGTACAGTATCAATTGCTGATCTGTGTATGTCTGTAAAATGTGGGTAGCTGAGGTCTGTGTGTGTGCGTGGAGTATGGTTACCTTACTTGTGTGTGTGTGTGCAGCGTAGGTATCTGTGTTGCATGTGTACAGTGTGGTTAGTTGACCTGTGTATATGTGTGGGTAGCTGTGTTGTGTGTGCACATACAATATCAATTGCTGAGCTATGTGTCTGTACAATGTGGGTAGCTGAGGTCTGTGTGTGTGTGTGTTTTTGTGTACAGTGTGGGTAGCTGAGCTCTGTGTGCATATGTAAAGTGTGGTTAGCTTTCCTGTGTTTGTATGGTGTCGGTATGTGAGCTGTGTGTGTGTGTGTACAGTGTGGGTGGCTAAGCTCTGTGTTTTATATAAAGTGTGGTATGTACAGTGTGGGTAGCTGAGCTGTGTTTATGTACAGTGTGGGAGGTTGAGGTGTGTGTAAAGTGTGGGTTGCTGACATGTGTCTGTATACTGTGGGTAGCTGTTGCTAAGTGTGTATCTACAGTGTGGGTAGCTGTGCTGTCTCTCTGTGTGTGTGTGTGTGTGTGTGTGTGTGTACAGTGCTGGTAGATAAGCTGTGTGTGTGTGTGTGTGTGTGTGTGTACAGTGCATGTAGCTGAGGTGTGTGTGTGTGTGTGTGTGTGTGTGTGTACAGTGTCGGTAGCTGAGCTGTGTGTGTACCTGTCATGCTCTAGTCTTCTCCCATCTCCCTCTCTTGATTTATTGCATCTCTATGAGGAGATTCTGATTGGACAAGCTGGCCCCATCCCACCTCCTTGACGATTTCGGCCAATCCAATGCCTCCCCTATGGGAAAGCATTGGATTGGCTGATATCAATTCTGATTATGTCAACCAAGGAGGCGGATCAGGGGCTGGCCAGCGCAGGCAGACTGTAAGAAAATAAATAAATGGTGGTTCTAACACTATAACAGTGATGGCGAACCTATGGCATGCCGGGCCCTCTCTGTAGGCACGCGGCCATAGGTTCACCATCAATGCAGATTAGGCACCTGCCTGCCCAAAATGGCAGACGCCTACTATGCTTCCGTGTCGGCAGGACCGGAAGCAGGGGGGAGATATTTAGGAAGCAGCTCTCCTATCCTCCCGCGAGCTGTGTGGAGCATTGCCGCGCGTTACCATGGCAGCACTCCAAACAGTAGAGCTGCCGCGCGTTACCATGGCAACAGGAGAGCTACAGGACCTGTCCTCCTGTCCTACATACTTACCACCACCGGACCACCAGGGGTTACTGATTTAATATGCTTTAAAAAAAAACAAAAAAGTTCAACCCCACAGCACCCCTACCCCCCCACACACAAACACTGCACTCCTCAATGGAGTATATGTGTGTGTGTGTGTGTGTATTCAGCAGTCTTTATGCATTCAGCACCCCCCCCCACACACAGCACTCCACACTCTAACACACAAACACATACACTGCACCCCTCAATGCAGTGTGTGTGTATTCAACTGTGTGTGTACTCAGCAGACTGTGTGTGTATGTATTCAGCAGTGTGTGTATTTAGCAGACTGTGTGTGTGTATTCAGCGGACTGTGTGTATATTTAGCAGTCTGTCTGTGGTATTAAGCAGTCGGTGAGTGAATGTGTTCAGCAGTCTGTGTGAATGCATTGCATTTGTTGGAGATACTAATAAATATAAGCTTAATTTTATCTATTTATATCATTATTTAAAATTTGTATAATTGAACTCTCTGTTGTGTTCTTCTTTTAAAACAAAAGATGTTAACTAGTTCGGACAACTGTACGAATTGTTTTTTCTAAACTTAAACCTCAGTATTCAGGTTTAATTGCCGTGTTGGCACTTTGAGGGGAAAAAAAGTTGGCATGTATTGCGGTTTGGGCACTCAGGCTCAAAAAGGTTTGCCATCACTGCACTATAAGGTAAGGAATATGTTTCTGTTCCTGACCCTATATTGTTCCTTTAACTCATTCCTCATATGGCTACAGTATCCTTGTCGTATTCCCTTCCTTCTTCTTTCCCCTTACGCCCTCCCTTCACTTACAGTCCAAGTTCTAGATCAGTGATGGCGAACCTGTGGCACGCTGGGCCCTGTGGGCACGCTGCCATAGGTTCGCCATCAATGCAAAGTAGGCACCTGCCTGCCCAGGCGCCTACTCTGCTTCCGTGTCGGGAGGCAGGGGGAGGGATCTGTGAAGCAGCTCCCCTGTCCTCCCGTGAGCAAGCTGTGTGGAGCGTTGCCGTGCGTTACCATGGTAACGCTCCACACAGCATCGAGTGGGAGGACAGGGGAGCTGCTTCACAGATCCCTCCCTCTGCTTCCCGACACGGAAGCAGTGCTGGCCACCACCAGACCACCAGGGATGGCTGTGTGTCCCCCTCCTTCATTAAAGGTAAGAAGGAGGGAGGGGAGGATACTGATTTAGCATACTTTTTAAAAAAAAAAACACCTTTACACCAGCCCCACACACAGTACCCCTACCCAAAAAGGGTTCGCCATCACTGTCCTAGATCAATCTCTGGTCAACCCTTACCCTCTTTTAGACAAGTGAGGAGTTAAATAAAACTAAAGATTGAGAGGAAAAGGCTAGTTTTGTCTAACTAACAAAATGTTAATTAGTAGGAGTCCTGTCTTTGAGCGGTGTTATTGTGATTGCATCTTTTGCATTAGATTTTGGTGGAGTTTATTTTTTGTTTTTATTGAGGCTTGTACATTTCCATCCATGTGGTGCTCTTATAAACCTGTAACAATTTACTAGGTATAAAATAATGTCACAGGTAAGAACGTGCAAACCAACACTGTGATAATGCTAAATGACCACTGTGTGGCACTGTAACTCGAAAAACTATTTTCTTAAAGGAAACCTGTCGTGGAAAAAAACAACTTTAGTGGTTTTTAAAGAGCATGAGATTCCATCTATGCATTGTGCTAGCAATAATATAGATTTAGAGAAAAACAACACGGGTTTTTCTCCTATATGTCTCAATTTCTTGGCAGACACTCAATGCCGAGGAATCGAGAGAATGCGAGAGCGGGACACTTCTGACAGGACCAGTGCACAATCTGTAGTGAAGGAACATGGATATGACATTGTGTTATGTACCAGCTTCCTTTAGATGCAACTACAGTTGCATTGCATTGTAGTCTCAGAGTACTGTCAATAGCTTCTTCACACCTCTGGATGCTGCTTGGCAACACTACATTGGAAGATGCAGCCAAACTGCCTGGTCACACATCAGGCATCTGGCAAGGGTTACCACATGTCTGATATCCGACGAGACAATCTGGTAAATGAGATGGCAGCTGCTTGCCTATACTTTGCTGACCGGTTCTTCAAGACCCCTGTTCTTTAACTTAGACCATGTCTACTCTTCCTTGGTCTTTAAATTTATGTCATCTAATGGCCCTCCTCCAACCATCTGTATCATGCTTTCCATATATTAAAGGATTACTCCAAGCACCATGACCACTTATTTGAAGTGGTCATAGTGCCTGCATTTCGCTATGATACACTGTACATACAGAGTTTAAAGGAACACTAAAAGCACCAGACCACTTCAGCTCATTGAAATGGTCTGGATGCAGTGACCCAGTCCTCGTAACCTTGCAATAGTAATAACTGCAATAATAACTATGCAGCCACTAGAGGGACTACTGGATTGTTAGTCGACTTTTGGTCGTCTTACGCTGGACGTCCTCACGCTAAGCATGAGGACATCCAGCGTCATTCAAAATCCCATACAATGCTTTCCTATGGGTCTGTACTGATGCATGCGCATACCTAGCCTATAGTTTCCCTTTAACCTCTCTGCTGCTGGAGTTGTAACTCCCCCTCATCATTGGGGCATCATTAGCAAACCCAGAGCAAATGTTCCGGGTGGCTAATGTAAAACATGGGCAAATTTGGTTTCAGACAACAGCTCACAGAGCAAGCGGTCACAAGACAGCCAATGCTGGCACACCCCATACCTACGTCCTCCCTCCTTGAACATAGGTAAGTTTTATCCTTATTCTTTCTTTCTGGAGTGGGTAGGACCACCACAGCAAGGGTTGATCTAACCAAAACGTTTGTTTTGTTTTTGGTTGGGGAAACCCTTAAAATATATATATTTATGCATACAAACCCACACAGATAAATTTGATGGATTTCTACTGATAAAAGGAATATGCAATACAGCCAGCCACAAATTAAAGGAAACATGCTTTACTCCCATTGAAGTAAGAAATACATTTTAGATTAAATACAAAACATTATAAAACACAATGTTTTATTGCTTGAATAATACAGCATGAATGATAAGGAGATTTAAAAATAAATAAAAAAAAAAAACTGAATAGGGACACAACACACACCTTGAATGATGCATTGTTAACTCCAAATTTGGTTTCTACACATTGGAAATGTGTTGATTATTTTATTAAGAGGTTTATGTGTAGAGTCAAAAATTAGTAGACAGGATTAAATAACTAATGGGGGTGGGGGAGGGGGGTACGATAATAATGCAAATAGTTTAAGTTCTTCACGTTCTTTCAAAATAATTATTTAGCACTTCTCTACTTATTATATTGATTACCTCTGCTTCCATAAAAATGATTTGATGGGAGGTCACTATGCTGATATTTATTTTGACAACTGACAGGGTGCTGATAGATTTGTTAAATATTTGGGATATATGAACATTAAAAAAAAATGCAAAAAAAAAAAACTTTAGAAAGTATGACAATCCATCCCGGGGCACATTTTGATTTGAGTTAAAGGTATGTGAAAATAATTTTGCATGTAACTTTATCTACATGCAGGTAAGTTAAGTTCACTTAAACACACACACACACAAAAGGTTTCTATTGACAGAAATCAGCTGATCAATGAAATGAACTATGTGACAAAAACCTCCTTGGTTTATTAGAAATTGTTTTTTTTGTTTTTTAATAGAACTAGAAAAGCTAATTATTTACATGAAGCTTTGAATGAAAATAGATACTTTGTATTTATGTAATGTCTGACACATTATGAAAATGTATACTTTATATTTAAACAAATAGTTTGAGTGCAATATAGACAGCAGATATCAACTGAAATTCCTGAATATAGATCTTAATTATTTATGCTATATGTCATATAAATCCTGTTGAGCTGCAAGCAACTCACAAATCACTTTCTATTAAGCTAAATTTCTTTGGAATCACCTCCCTGTAGCTTTAGTCATCTATTTTCATCACAATTAGCAGCAAACAAAATAATTCCAAACATCTGTGTTGATGCCGCCTTTGTGTCACCAATCTACTCTACATCACATAAATTTACAAAACCTTTTTTTCATGATAGTGTCCCCTTAAAACAAAACTGGGTTTTGTTTGTATTACCCTTCACTAAATGGACAGCACATATTGTTCACTTCTTTTTCAGCAAATCTCAGTGAAATATAAAATATTGGTTTAAAATGTGTAGAATAAAAAGTTCACAATTGTGACTTGTGTTTTCTCTTGTTTAAATAGTAACATAAAATGGTTCCCATCTACAAAGCTGCTTCTATTTCAAGGAACACTCCAGGATGTATTTACTAAACTATGAAGACAATGCACAAAAAAAAAAATATATATGTTAGTCTGTTTTATTTGGCTTTCATGCTACTTCAATATTTACTGTCACTAAGCAGCTAGAAGGAAGTAACAACCTTTTTCAGGCAATTTGTGTTGTGCTCATACATACACTGGAATAGCATTGTGTGTTTAGCCGACATGATTAGTGTGCGAATGTGACAGATTTTAAAACTCTCTTGAAAGCATTTAGACATGTACGGTGTTACTACAAGTACTTGCATTGACATCAGTGGGTCCTAGTGCTACGGTGCATGGTAGTACATGTGCTTTTACAGCCATGTAAAGTTGTCACACCTGAGTTTTAACATACATGCAAGTTAAATAAGTGCTTGGAGTGCTCCTTCAAAATGCACAAAAAACATACTATCCAATGGATGCAATACAGATAGTATTTTCTTCTAAAATTTGACAGAGAAATCCCACATTCTGCAACAAATTACTCCCTGCTCCTTCTACGATATGTAACACTGAATTTTTCTCTAATTGCAAGTGCAGTAAGAAACTCTTGAAGAGAGACAGCTTGTCTTGGTTGATAAGGATTCTCAGATTGTCATGTTTTCCAATACTACATAATTCCATCCATGTAATGCAAATAGGGTGATATAGCAACTCTGCATGTGCTCAATTGACAGGAAAGGACATGGCACGCATCTTAAATAATAACATATCGCCTGCCACTTTCCCCCAATTCCATGTGAAACTTAACTTTAATTAAGCAAGGAAAAAAAAAAAAAACTAACGATAGCAGGGTTTAGCATTCTGTACTTTGACAATTTTAGTATTCCCCTTATATAGAATATCCTGTGTAGTTTATGGGATTCGCATTTGTATTCATGCTTTAACTCCATACCATACCTTATCTAAAATAGGATTAATAGTATTTGCAAATATAGCACTGATATTCCACACAAAATAAAAAGCCATACCCTGAACATATTTGACATATTAAAAAACACAAAAAAGGTTTTATTGCTTGAAAAATACAGCATAAATGGTTGGGGGATAAAAATAAAAAAAAATAAAGAAAATATGTCACAAAGACCAAACATTCATTGACATATTAAAAAGATAACTTGGGTTGTATCATTAGGATCTTTAACAAAATAACAGGACAGATTGTCCACATTTTAAAAAGGTTATCTGTTATTGGCACAAAAGCCTTATGCAACTCACTTTTTTGCAGTTTCTATTAACCCATATATTTATTCACTGCAGTCATCGGTAGGGAGTTGGGACAGTTGGAAAAGTTAGACCACAGTGTTAAAATGTAATTGGGTTTTACCCCCACTCCAGCTGTGATTTTGCAACGGTTTTCAACTCTTACATGAATAAATCTCTAATCCCACCTGTTAAATCTGTAAATCCCTTAGTTACAGAATGTCACTACGTTTAGAAAAAACAGATATTTCATAAAAATTAATGGGACCAACCAGTTTAAGATTACACCATAAGCCAGTTACTTTATTGTGAGATGTTGGTCTAGACATTAGATATTTAAAGGGAAACCATCATGATTGTTTCTTAAAGTTCCACACGTATATCACAAATTACTTTTTTTAGAGCCTACTCTGCCTTTGAGAAAACTTAAAATCATATCTTGTTTGATGAAAATTCATGGTGCCAAGCTCAGTTCTCAAGCACGGTTATTCTCCAAATTTAAAAAGATTTCTTACCCTCCACTTACTATTAGCAATACTTGTGCAAATTATCACCATGGAAAATCGGAGTTTGACACCCACGGCAAACAAATCCCTACGGAAAAACCAGTGACACTATTTTATAAAACAGACTTGAGGAAAGCAGGCACCTCATGGATCTTAAATAATAAAAAAAAAAAAAAAAAAAAAAAACACTGTCTACAAAATTATTCCATGCTTCACAATGTTTAAAAGGCACAAAGAGGAAAAATACAATTATGAAAGTGCCCCTTAAAAAACAAAAAAAAAAAAAAAGAAAGAAAAAGTTAAACTTTAAACTTCACAGGCATTTCAATTTTTCCTCTTACCCGACTGCCCCACCCCCATTTTTTTTTATTTATTTTTTTAAATAACAAAACTAAAATTCAAAATTGAGACTTTGATCAGCAGTCACTGAAAAATCATGATCTAACGCATGGCTGACTATTTTAAACAGTGACAAGATGGTGACAAAGCAGGAATATTTTATCTGATCCAACAAAAGCCAATATTGTATGTCTAATTTGATAAAGGATGATCAGACACCCATAAAATATTGAGTTTACTTCTCAATTTTTTTATGTTTTGAGTCTACGTATTTACGGCCTTGTTAATTTGGTGCTCAGTGACATCAGATATTCATGAGAGTGAGAAGGAAGCCAACATTTTACATGGAAAAAAATCATTAGTTCATCCAATAATATAATGAAATGTATCATTACTGTATTCACATTTCAGATAAGTGGTCTGCCAACAAATTAACATAAATATCCTTGAATACAATATGACTGCACAACTTAAACAAGTACCACTTAAACTCTTAATTGGTAATGTTGGTTAAGTTTGCTAAATGTTAACCAGGATAATACAGTAATCATTTAAAACAAACAAAATAAAAAAGTGCAACATCTTTACCAGTAAGCTGTGTCTTGAACAGTAATTTGAAAACAAAGTAACCTAAAGTTTAGGATTGAGGGAGCTGGGGGGGACTTTGGAGGAGATGTATAAGGCCTTATTAAATAGTTTTTTCACCCCATGTCAAATTTAAACAAGTATTTGTTGTTGTAAAATCACACAGCAATACTGAATGAATTTCCTTTAACTCTTAGCGGGCCCTGCAAAAAAATATATCCTAAAAATGAACCCTCAAGACCCAAATATGACGACTGTTGTACCTTTTCTTTTTCTTTTTTTTACAAACACTAAATTGATAGTTGTTGGCAGGAATGGTACAAAGTACACATTTTTATTGACCTTTACAAAGGTTTTACATCCTCCCGTAAAATTTAACATTGAAAAATATCTATTAACGTTGTTTAATTCATGCCCCATCCCCAACCCCAACCTCAAAATTAAAAAAAAATCCCTAAGATTTAAATTCAGTTAAAAGGGAAAAAGGAAATATGTTCTTAGAGCTTCTATATAAATCTCACTATATTTAATAAAGTTGTATTTGAATTTAACACTGCTTATTGTTCAAGTTAATGACTTGTTGCTAATATAAAATTTTCTTAAAGACCATTAAAAATTCTCTATTGATATGATACTGAACCTTGGATTATTGACACTTCAAACAGGCGTTTTGATGTGTACAAAGCATACAACAGTTGAGACTTAAACACATATCCCTAGAATATGAATGACCAGTCCACCAAGATGCATTAAAAAAAAAATTTTACAAGTAAGCGTTTTTTTTTTCATGGTTTTTCATTGTGCAGGCGAAAATTATTCAGAAAGGTGGATTGAAATTCAGCAGGGAAAATTTAGATGTCATCTTCCTCTTCATCCTGAGAGGACCCTGCTTGATTCGATGCACTGGCAGATGCTGCTGCAAGCTGTGCTTGCTGGGCCGCTTGTTGCATCTGCAACCATTCCTGCTGAGCCAATTCTGCTTGCTGCTGTCTGGCCTGGAAAGAGAGTAAATTTTAACTTTAATACATTACTACACAGGTTTGTGAAGTTGAGTCTCGTCCTTAAAGGGACACTATAGTCACCAATTCAACTCCATGTATTCCTGACCCTATAGTGTTAACATGACCATGTAGCCCCCCCTGGGCCCCTCTTGCCTCCATAAATATAGTAAAAATCTTACTGTATTCAAGCCAGAAGCTGTAAATCTGCATGCTGTTAGACTCAGGAAAAACAAGCAGTCTGCTGACGTAATAGTCTGATCCAATCACAGTTCTTCCCCATAGGATTGACTGAGACTGACAAGGAAGCAGCTCAAGGGCAGAGCCAGCATGATTCAAACACAGCCCTGGCCAATCAGCATCTCCTCATAGAGATTAATTGAATCAATGAATCTCTATGAGGAAAGTTCAGTGTCTGCATGCAGTGGGAGGAGATACTGAATCACAGGATGCTCATGCACAGCAGATCTGAGTGGATGGAGGCATATTATGCCTCCATCAACTCCGAAGTCCCTCTGGTTCACTCTGAGTGACTGAAACTGGAGGAGTTCCTAGCTTTCAATGTAAACACTGTATTTTCTCAGAAAATACAGTGTTTACAGGAGAAATGCTGCATAGAGCTATAGTTCTCACCTGAACAACCTCATTAATCTGAGGGTGTTCAGGTGACTATAGTGTCCCTTTAAGGTGGATTGTCAGCAGAAAAATCTATCCTCATAATTCAATGTGAAACAATACAGCAAATATATATCCAATAAAGTTAAAGTAAATTATGCATTGTATACTGTAGCTTAATATTAAATAATTTATGAGACACATATAGCCTATTTTTTAATAAGTATAGGAAGAATCCAGGCTAACATCAAATTATTAATTTTTTTTAAATTCACCATGTCAATTACATAGTAAATGGCTTGTGAGAGTATATGATGCAAGCAGCCAACTAGAACCTGGGGCCTCCACAACTGAGCAAGGATTAAGAAAGGCTTATTAGATGGCCTGATACTTGACACACAGTGTGCCCAGGTTTATAGCACATTTCTTTGCAAACACTAGTTACACTTTTATGCCTTTGTGAAAGGTGGTTGGGCAAATTATCAAGTGATGACTGTCAATGTATGTCAAGGTGTTATCAGCATAAACTCTGTCACAGCTTTAGAATATACTCTTAGAGGAAACTTGTAGGGGAAATGCACGTTTGGCCAAAATAGAGGAAGTGGAAAGATTGTTCAAGGCTATGTTCCCAATTTTGCTTTTAAAGGAATACTTCAAGCTCCATAACACCTACAGCCCGCTGAAGTGCCAACTCCCTCTCAGTGTAATTTGTCAAACCATAGAATAGTCTAAAAACTTACCTGGGTCTCAGGTGATGCTCTCAGATAATCATAGTGGATGTACTTAGCGCACTTGGAGCCAACAGGATTCTCTTGCTAGTAGGATCATTAAGTAGAGGATGCTGGCAAGGGCACCTGGCGAAACCCAGGTAAGTTGTTAAACAGCTTGACAAAATACACGGGGAGGGAGTATGGAATGTTTCTTTAAGCCTAAACTACCTTTTTAAACCTTGTTATGTATCAGGTGAGAAGTTTGTTAATAGTGTCACAATGCAACAATTCTGTAGCACAAGTAACGTTGTGTACATTTCAATCACAGAACAATGATTTGAGAACTGAGCAAAGTCTTACTTTTGCAAATAATTCTTGCTGTTGTCTTAAAAGCTCTTCTTCAGGAATTCCGAGGTTTTCTAGGCGAGAACTTGCCTTTCTTCTCTTTAATGCTACAGTTTTGCATTCCTGCAAGACTTCTTTCACCTCGCTGATGTAGGAGCCAAAGCCCAAACTCTCTAGTGCTGAAAAAAGATGGGAACGAAAAAGTAAATAAACAATGTTTCTAAATTAATACAGCGAACCGGAAATTTGCTATAACACCCATGCAGTCAAGAAAAACTGATGCTCATAATTTTTCAAGTTGAAGATAGCACTTGCTGGCATAAAATGCAATCATAACCATAAATACACACAGCTCATTGATTTTTTTTTCTGTCAATTGAAATGGTAACTTGCTACATAAAGCTAGTGGAGAGTAAAATTCTCATCATACCTCATTGGAAGAGACAAATATGGAGTTAATCTACAAGCAATTATTTTTTTAAACTCCAATTAGCCTCAGCCAGAGTCTCACTTAAGACAAATTCTTACATGGCTGTATAAACCTATATATGCTGGCATTGTTAGCATTATTTTCTGTGGGTAAGAGAAAAGGAAAGGAAATTAAAGCTCCTAACCCATTCTGAATCCACCCAGTTGCCTAATTTCTGCAAACCTTACGGCTAAAAATAAAGCTGATGTTTCACTAAACTACTTTTCCTAACAGCCCTGAAAGGGTTCCAAAGCAAAAGTTCCACTCTCTAAGGGCAACTAAGTGAGTGAAATTAATTAGATGAACTGCATTTACATGTTTTCATAGTATAGTATGTATAAAATAATTTTTTTTTTTTTTAAATCAACACACACACAACAGGTATCTTACAGCCTATACTGCCACTTTCATGAAGGAATTCAATGTTATAAAATCATAACAACAGTGGTAATGGACCTAAGTCCAAGGCACTTGGTTACCACATAGCATCACTTTGTTTAAGTAATGTTCCATCCCTGCCCTTGGCAGCTATATAAATATCTACATATAGATACACACACAAAAACAATGCACATATACCTAAATTTTGTATTGGTCCTACAGTGTCCTTTAATTACACAATCTTAAGTGTTGTAAAATAACCCATATACAAATATTTGATTTTCATATCAAAGTGATTTACTTTATGGGTGACTAATCTGAAAACACTGTCAAAAGGTCAACCTTATTTCTTTGCTGTGAAATGGTAACATTAATCTATTCAGAAACATCCCTATAACAATGAAAATTCTGTATCCGAGTGTGCTCAAATCTATTGACTCATGAACAAGCTATGGAAAAATATCAGCTCATTTTCTTCCATACCAGAGCAGCAACAGATAGATCAGTTAGAAAAACAAGTATTATTAAAAGAAATGTAAAATATAATTTACTACAGGGCTTGACAAATCACAGGCGTCAGGTGAGTGTGTGAGAATGTGTAGCAGTGTGTCCGTAAGTGAGTCTGTGTCAGTCAGTGAGAATGCCTGCCAGCGAGCACCTCCCGGCCAGCGAGGGAGCGCCTGCCAGCGAGTAAGTAAGTGCGTGCATGTGTCAGTTTGCCTTAAGTATACCCCTTGGTATACTTGTTACCTTTGGGCCTTCTCCATAACTCCTTTTCTTAAAAGAATCAGGGATTCGGATAGAAGCGCATCTATGTTTAACAGATATTGTTAGGAAGAAATCAGGAATTTTAGTGCGGGTCTTTCCATAAACCTAGATATGGAAAATAACCCATCTGCTATTTTGCTTAAAATCCATGGATTTGTTCTAGTCTGTTTCCAAGGATGCTTGAACCATTGCAGTCTTCCTCCCACTTTTCTGGCGTCAAAACTTCCTCCTCTTATCGTCTTTTGGTCTTCTTGTCACTGAACTTTGTGTGTATGTTTTGCCCATGATGTAGCACACGTTCTTAAGCAGATGTGCCAAGTCTTTTTCCGATCCTTCAATACAATCTTTCATTGATTGCAGCCTTATACTCTGTGTTATGGCAACGAACACTGCGACACAGTGCCTTGCCACTCAAACTCTACTGCAGGATCTCTCTGACCGTTTATCCATTGGGCCTTTGGGACCTGCTACTTTGCAAAAAGGGAGAGTGGTCTTTTTCAAGAGTGTAGCTATCTGAACACGCATTCTTAGGGAGATCTTCCAATTTCTAATTGTATGCCGTTTGAATATTTGTTTAAAATGTTTGGAAATAAATACCCTTTCCTCAGGATTTTTTGTTATTCCTGCTGCACCAGTTTCAGAAGTTTTAGATGTATGGGAAAACATTTCTATTTTTTTTTCTTAGAAGTTTCACCTTCCTACAAAATAGCTGAAACCTCTTTGATAAACTTATTTAGCTCTGCATGTGAAAAACCTGAATCCACACTTGAGTTTTGGTTGAATACATCAGATACTGATGAGCATTCACCTGAGGATAAATCAGAATGAGAAGAGGACCTGTTTCTCTTACATTTCTGTATGGATCTGTTCTGGACAGATACAGGCTCTCTGGATTTTGCCGCTTTAAATTTTTCAAATGTTTGAGATTCTCTAGAAACTACCTTAAAGAGGTACTATCACAAAGCTGTATTCACCCCTCCCTTGCGCGCCACCCTCCCCAGTGTATAAAGGGTTAAAAACCCTTTATTTACTCACCTGATCTGAGTGCTGATGTCCCTCGGTGCTAGGTTGAAGCTCATCCTCCTCCGCCCAAGACAAGCGGGCTCTAATGCGCATTCATTGAATCAATGCTTTCCTATGGAAAAAAATCTGACACTGGAGCTCCTCATGCAGAGAACATCCAGCATCAGATAGTGGACCAAAGGTCCGTTTCAAACCAGGAAGTCCTCTACTGGCTAGACAGCCACTAGAAGCTGACTTGGAACCGCAATGTTTAACATTGAAGCACTAAGGGCAATAGGGACAGGGAACCCAGACCACTTCAATGAGCTGAAGTGGTCTGGGTGCCTACAGCGTCCCTTTAAAAAAAAAAAAAAAAAATTGCATCGCCTTCTGATTTGTCTTTTCCCAAAAATTTGATAAGCTGTGGTTTGCATGTCTTTTTCTTGCATCCATCAGAAAGTGGTGTAGCACACTCGCTACAGGCTAGTGACACGGTAAACCTGTCATGACAACCCTTGTCAACACAGCTCAAATAGGCTTTTTAAATTTCATGCCAGAATTAAAATTCCAGCCACTAAGGCCCGTTAGCGCTGTCAAAACTGAGGTGGAAAGCAAGGCCTCCCGGGCATGCATTCCACCGCTGTGACCAAGCTCTGCGTCTGCCTACTGATTGGGTGGCCGTCGGTCCCGTCAATGGGAAAAGAAAGAACAGAGGTAACTATTTGAATGGCAGCATTTAAGGGATGATTAGGAGGGGTTAACAATTGTTTTTAACAGTTTTCCCCCAAAAGGATTACCTGATCAGCACTAGAAAGTGAATCCCAACTTGTAACTGTATACAATTTTCACAGTAAGATATTTCATGAAGTGTCCTGAGATTACTTGTATCCTCACATTTATGGAAATCTACATATGTAGGATGCAAATTCAGACTCCAGTGTTTTTGCATAATTCCATCTAAGTTGCATTCATCTCTCCCCATCAGCAATGCTGGGAAATGGTAAGGACTATATTAAATAAATACCCAACTCAATCTTAACCGGATATTTGCATTTTCTTTCACTGGTATGACAAATATAAATGTATCCTTCCTGGTAAAATACTTTTGATATTATTCTCTCTGAACTCTATGTAGCAATATGTTAACTTCCTTTCTTCCAGATGCAACATGACCATCTAATCAGCTCTCTACTAAAGGTGGTGAATGATTCACAAAAGAACTTCCCTTTAATACACCAGAATGTTCCAATCCACAAGCACCAACATCAATATATGCAATCAATTCAGCAGCATACAAGACAATGCATTTGTTTCCTGAGATCACATCTGCAACATGCAGACAATTCATCAAGCCATTGCAAATATTTTAAAGTAATGTTTGCACAGAACTCCTTTTGGTGTTATACATACTATTTTCCATGACCAATACTATTGTTGTAACATGGTCCATCACAAAAGAGACCGATAACACTTGCATAGTCCGATGATCATAGGAAAAAATTAAATAAAAACATTTTTAGAAGCAAATAGAACTTACAGAGAAACTGTGGTAAAATAAAAACTAGTCAACTGGAGAGTTTGAGCACAGGGCTTGTTTAATCTTGTGTTATCTTAATGTTTATATTGCTTAAATTATGCTATTTAACCCCTTAAGGACTGGACCTTTTTTGCGATGTTGTACATTTGCGACCAGGCATATTTTTACACTTTTGTGGTGTTTGTCTGTAATTTTCCGCTTTCTCATTTACTGTTCCCATACAAATTATATATTGTTTTTTTCAGGACAAAAGGGGCTTTCTTTACATACCATTATTTACATAAACTCATGTATTTTAATTTTAAAAAAATATGATGAAAAATTGAAAAAAAAAACACATGTTTTTTTTACTTTTACTTGAAAAATCTTTTACTCATCTACAAAAGCGAATGAAAAAAACTGCTAAATAGATTCAAAATTTTGTCCTGAGTTTAAAAATACCCTGTGTTTACGTGCTTTTGTGCTTTTTTTTGCATGTTATAGGGCTATAGGTACAAGTAGGATATTGTGGTTTCAACACATACATTTTTAAAATTTATCAATAGTGACATTGTAACACTATTATCTGTCATAAATCTCTGAATAACACCCCACATGTACATATTTTTTTTAAAGTAGACAACCCAGGGTATTCAATATGAGGCATGTCCAGTCTTTTTTAGTAGCCACTTAGTCGAAAACACTGGCCAAAGTAAGCATTCATATTTGTGTGTGGAAAAAGTAAAAAAAACTAAATCGAACGCTAATTTTGGCCAGTGTTTGTGACCAAGTGGTTACTAAAAAAGACTGGATATACCCCATTTGCAATACCTTGGGTTGTCTTCTTTTGCAAATGGTATGTCATCATGGGGGTAATTCTCATTCCTGGTCTACCATACGCTCTCAAAGGCAACGTAACCAACCTGGCCATTTTCAATGTAAAAATATTTGACCCATATATTTGACCTTGTAACTTTCAAAAATGCTATAAAACCTGTACATGGGGGGTACTGTTTTACTCGGGAGACATTGCTGAACACAAATATTAGTGTTATATCATCAGTAAAAGTGCTGTTTGTGTGTGAAAAATGCAAAAAAAGTCATTTTCACTGACAATATCATCGCTGTGATATGTTTTACTGTTTTGAAATCACTAATATTTGTGTTCAGCGAAGTCTCCCGAGTAAAACAGTACACCCGATGTACAGGTTTTAGGGTGTCGTAGAACGTTACAGGGTAAAATACAGTGCTAGCAAATTAAATTCTCTGGAATTTCGGCCTGGGTTGGCAGGCAGGTCCCTCAAATTGCAATCAATAAAATTACTGAATTATGTAAAAATATTACATAAATACGCACGTAGAATTTAAATATATATGCATATATATTTGAAGTCTACGTGTATATTTATATAATTGTTTATGTAATTTTGTATATGGACATATGTATATTTCGTATTTTTATTTATATATACACAGATATATATACAAATTCATTCTAAGTGTATTTTGATATAAATATATATTAATTTTAAAATACAGTTAGAATAAAATTTCATATAGATATAATTTTTTTTTAATTTTTTATTATTTTAAAAAAATTATTTAATTTAAATTACTTATTTATATTTTATAATATATATATATATATATATATATATATATATATATACACACACACACACACACACACACACGTGTGTAATTTAATAAGTATTTTTATATTAATATAAGTACATATTAATATAAAAATACACTTAGTATGACATTATATATATGATATATAGACATATATTATATGGATATAATATATGTCTATATATCATATATACACATATAATTATTTTTATTAACACTAACTTTATTTTTTTAATGATTTTACACTAGCAGGGAGACTGCCTGTCAGCACAGACAGTCCCCCTGCAGGCAGACACATGGACACGTATTGTGACCATGTGATCGCTGTGTTAAGCGATCACATGGCCACAGGGGTCCTAATCCAGTGTGGGGAGACTGTCTGGGCTGCAGGCAGTCTCCCCACAACCGGAGCCACGCTGATCGCCGCCGGGGGAACGACGGCGATCAGGTAAGTACCTCTGACCGTTAGGACGGTTCAGGACCGTCATAGGTCGGCAAGCCAAAAATGCCGATGACGTTCCTGAACCGTCCTCGGTCGCGAAGGGGTTAATTGTCAATTTCCGATTAAGTGGGCAAAGCTAATTGAAAATGATTTAGTGCAGTGGTAGTCAACCTTTTTCTACCTACCGTCCACTAATGCATCTTTTTGGTTGAAAAAATGTCCTTACCGCCCACCAGTTTTCACGCAAGTGCAGAATATTTTTTAGAAAGGAGGGTGTTTTTAAAAAATAAATAAATAAATGTACGTACATTTATCTTTTTATTTCTACTTAATGCATGTTTATAATGTTTTTAACTTTATAAAGTTTAATGAGAAAAAGTAAATTGAAATTACCTTTACTAGTGATTAATGAGATTCTTGAGGTTGAGGCTGCAAGACTAAATATTTGATATCTGGTTCGATTTTCGTAAGGAACAAACGAAGGTCTCCTCTTTCGGTGTTATTCAGACGACTTCTCTGTTTGTGCATAATATGATTTCTCATCTGTGCGTCAGCTCATCTCCCTCCTCAATTCCTCTCCCCACCTCCCCCCCCCCAATTTTTTAACCTTCCCTATATCAATGCCCAGTAGGAAGGCTGAGCTAGGTATCCCACTATAAACAGACAGGCACACATACATACAGGCACACACATACACACAAGACATACAAAGACACACATACAAAGACAAGACACACACATACAAAGACAAGACACACACATACAAAGACACACAAAATATTTTAGTCACCCTCCTGTTTCCACTGTCACCAGTGGTGGCTCAGATGGATGGGAGTCAGAGTTCCCACTCTGACTCCCTGGTCTTCCTCCCGTGCAGCTCTCAGTGTTAGCTGGGAGGAGTGACGTGCAGTGGTGATGGCGGTACCCGGTCGCAGGGGTACCACCGGCTCGCACCCACACGCCCAGTCTCAAAATGAGAAAATCCCTACCACCCACCTGGAATCCTGAAATGCCCACTAGTGGGCGGTAGGGACCAGGTTGACGACCCATGATTTAGCGTGTGCTTTTCATCCACAGTCAGCATGAAATACAAAACATCTTGAAACATGCAAATTGCATTCTTGTGCACCTCAAAGACTGAAACCAGGCAGCTTTCACTTATTTTCACTCACAGAGAAACCACTTAATTGTTTGTCTTTATAGAGCTGAATTCTCAAATGCAGCTACATGCTAAATATAAAAGGACTATTTACATTTACCTGACGAACTAAGTGTAGAGTAGGGTAAATTTCTCAGCTGCATTTCTCCAGTTATCAGATCCTTAAACGTTAATGAATGATTAAACAAAGAAGGTATGGAGTAACAAAACAAATCTTAAAAGATCACAGGACAAACATTTGCAAATGCATTCATGTCTACTGCACCAGTTACTAACATATCTACCAACAATTTTATATGAAGAAAATGTAGACATGAAGTGACATTTGTTGTAAAGATCTGTCCAATCAGGAGACCTCAAATCAGCAACGCATGTAGCAGAGCTCTGGATTTGAATGCTTGTACATTCCTTGTGTCAAAGCAGGTTATGGGCTTTAAGGGTTTTGCCAACCACCATGACCACTTCAGTGATCTGAAATGCTGCACATCCGGAGATATTTTAACTTTTGTGCTGGGATTTAGTTATACGCCCAACACATGTGCCTTAGGCAGTCCGGTACAGCCCAATGTAAATTGTTCAATGATGACTGGAGGGGCAGCCAACCCCAGGTCTGGCAGTACCGAGATTCTGATAAGAGTGCGGAATTCCTCCTTTTGTTTATACATAATGTAAATTCTGTGCATATTTGACTTCTGTTGTCAGCGGACTGAGCATGCTGACAACAGATGTAAAGATCTTTTTGGACAGCGTGCCTGCAAGGGAAGCTAGCTCTTTACTCCTTCCTGCCCTCTGTGAGATCTCATACCTAATGTGCATGCGCTGCAACAGCCGCGCTTGCGTTAGGATTTCCCTATAATACAATTATTTCCTATGGGGATTCTGGTGACGCTGGAAGTCCTCATGCATAGTGTGAGGATGTCCATCGGCAGTTAGGCAACCAAAAGTCGCCTTCAAGCCCGGAATTCCCTCTAGTGGCTGCCTGGTAGACAGCCACTAGAGATGGAGTTAACCCTAGCAGGTAATTATTTCAATTTATAAAAACTGCAATACTTACATGCGCAAGGTTAAAGGGATCCTATAGTGCCAGAAAAACAAACCCGTTTTCCTTGCACCATAGGTCCCTACAATGCCCCCCTCCCTCACGACCCCCCTTCAGTCACTTACCTGAATCCAATGCCAATGTCTTACGGCTGACGTCGGCAGGGGGACCTAATGCGCATGCGTGACATTGATCATGCGTGCATTGGACCTCCCCATAGTAAAGCATTATTCAATGCTTTCCTATGAGGGAAATCTGATTCCGGAAGTGCCCCCAGACAGCCACTGAAGGCAGACTTAAGGCCCCTTAGAGGCCCCTGATGACGGAGATCAGTACCTGGAACTTCTTCAAGCACTGAATTACACGTACGTTTAAACTTTATCTGTTAAAGGACCACAATAGGTACCCAGACCACTTCAGCTTAATGAAGTGGTCTGGGTGCTAGGTCGCCCTAGTTTTAACCCTGCAGCTGAAAACATAGTTTCAGAGAAACTGCTATGTATATACTGCAGGGTTATTCCAGCCTCTAGTTGCTTTCTCCTTGACAGCCACTAGAGGCCGCTTACGCGATTTACACTAAGTAAATCACATTTACTTGATGCTGGACGTCCTCACGGACCTCCAGCGTCAAATAAGATCCCCATAGGAAAGCATTGAGCAATTCTTTCCTATGGGCGTGTTTAAATGCACGCACGCGCATTCAGCTCCATTTGGGAGCCGACGTCAGTGGGGGAGGAGAGGTCACCAGCACCGAGGGAGCCCAGCGCTGGATTAAGGTAAGTGGCTAAGGGTGTTTCAACCCCTTCAGCGCCGAGGGTCTAGAGGGAGGGGGCACTCCAAGAGCCTATAATGCCAGGAAAACGGGTTTGTTCTCCTGGCACTATAAGAGCCCTTTAAAGTTTCATGGGATGGAGGGAGACATTTTAGCAATGCTTAATAGCGCATTCTAAGCCTAAAAAGGCAAACTATTAGAGTAACCTTTTAAAGGGTGATTGTCAATTCTGACAAAAGATGCTCATGACTTGTTTTATGTACTCCGTTAAAAAAATATTTATACATTTTTTCCCACTAACATTTGCCAGTTGAAGGTTAACTTTGGGGGGGGTCCTTCAACCTATTTATTTATTCACGTTTGTATAAACTACAGTCTTTTCCTGTGCTAGGACTCATCTGCCACAGCCTACAGCTCTACATCGAAGCTGACATCATTTGCAATATCTTCCAAGCCATTTCTTCCTAAAGAGCAGCAATGGATTGGAGATTCTTTGTTTTCAACAGCATTTGCTTCCCAGACCAAGTTTGGAGGAGGAAGCACCTCTAGTGAATGTCTGGAATACAGCCACTAGATGTATATTTAACCATGCAACGTAAACATTGCAGGATCTTAAAAAACAGCAGTAATTTCCACACCACAGTTTAAGTGACAGGACCACTGCACCCAGACCACTCCATTAAAATAAAGTGGTCGGCGTGACTATAGAGTTTCTTTAATACTAGGCATAATGGAAAATTACAGATGTGTTCCCTAATGTGTATATTGGAAGTGAAATTCACAATTTAGGCCTCAATATCTAAATAAAATTTTAAGAGTACCAACAGTATTATTCATAAAACTGCAAACTAACCAATCAAAATCTGAATCATAAAAACATTCAAGCTGTGAACATAACCAAACTGTTTCCATATCTGTTATTCTGAATTTGGTTTTGCCATATGCATTCAAATTCTCAACATTTCAGAGATTTGTGAATAACCCCTAAACACAGCCCTGCATTAAATTCAGCTAAAAGGTGCACTAAATCTTGAATTCCTGACATTTCTCCGTCAGTAATTATCCCTGTGAAGTCCTACAGATCGGAGAGGGGGTGGGGTTTCCACCATTTGGCCACTCACCCTGTATGACATGCTCGGGGGAGATGGTCTTTTTCTCGGACTTGTTGCAGATCTCGTTGGCCTCGGAGGAGATGAGGTGGATAAACTCGGTGCAGCAGTTAACCACCAGCTCCCTGGCATCGTTGGCCACCCTGACGTTGGGCAGAGTTTCTTTGATCATCTTATTGATGGCAGCCCTGGGGATGGTGAGATCGTCATCATTGCCCGACGAAGATGCCATGTCTGTGGCGGTTTCCCCTCTTTGTAAAATAAGCCAGAGAGGAAGGAGATGGGGGAACCGAGGTAATAACTGGGAGAGGGGGGGGACCGAGGTAATAACTGGGAGAGGGGGACCGAGGTAATAACTGGGAGATAACTGGGAGAGGGGACGGGACCGAGGTAATAACTGGGAGGGAGGTAATAACTGGGGGGTCGAGGTAATAACTGGGAGAGAGGGGGAGGGATGAGATAAACCCGGTAATAAGGGGTTGGGGATTAACCCTGGGTAATAATATGGGGAATAATAAACCCGGGGTAATAATATGGGGGATAACCCGGAGTAATAATAAGGGGGTTGGGGATTAACCCTGGGTAATAATATGGGGAATAATAAACCCGGGGTAATATGGGGATAATAAACCCGGGGTACCCTGGGGATTAACCCTGGGTAATGGGGTGTAAAGTGTTAGTAACCTGGAGTGGAAGGGGGGTCCGAACCGTGACCAGGGATGGGGGGCGGGGGACTTTGTGGAGAAATTAATAAAATCACCAGGGAAGGGGTGTCAGTATATAGAGAGCGCTTTAAAATAATAATAATAATAAAGCTTTGGGTCTCTCTCACACCATCCTCGGGGCTTCACACGGTAACGGCGGCGGCAGCACCATCAGCACAGCGCCAGGCTGCCTCTCACTGCCGGCAAACAAAAATAAAACATATAGCGATCTCCGTGACCGGGAGGGTGAGGCCGGTTAAAGGAACATCCCGGCAGAGAGCCGCGGCGAGGGCACAGAGCCTCCTTCTCCCGCCGGAAGCGGCGTCTGAGGAGAAACGCGACGCACTGCTTTCCACTTCCGGTTGAGGCGCAGACGTTCGTTCCCAGGTTACCATGGCTCCGCCGCGCGGGCTGTCGTGACGTCACACGCCGCCGCGGGCTCCTTTGAATGCAGTGAGTGCCCCTGCTGCTGGGGGTTTGGATGGGCAGAGCTGCAACATCTGTGCTGCTTTAGCAAAGCATCATGGGAGTTCTTGTTCTGCCATACCGTGTTAGTGCATACTCACAGTATGCAGAATTCATGTGCTGCAGGATTGCTTATTGATTTGTTCTCCTCTAGACTGCAAGCTGGTTTGAACAGGGACCTTATCAACCTATTGTTCCTGTAGAATTCTGTAGTTGTTTAATTTATTGTTAAATTTCATAATTTTTATAATATTGTAAAACGCTGCGGAGTAATTTGGCGCTATAAAAATGGCAAAAATAAAAATAATTTATAACTTGATTTCCTACTTGCAGCCTTTGAAGGCAACATACTATGGAGCTGCACTTGGATGCGTTACTTCTTCACGCCTTGCAACTGTGCTGACTATAGCAGGACAGTCTCTGTTTTGGCCTTCAGTCCCACCATATTTTTTTCTTGCCTAGTGTCCTCCACAGAAAGCGTAGCTTCAGCGCATCATTAGACTCACTAGAGCTATGTTAACCCTTAAAGGACACATCTTCCTTTGTCTTTCACTTTCCAACACAAGCAATATTTGCAATGTGCTTTTTAACCACAATTTCCACATTTCTCATTTGTTGCTTCAACACATATTTTATACCATTCTAAAGGACACAAATGGCTTTAAAGGATCACTATAGGCACCCAGACCACTTCAGCTTAATGAAGTGGTCTGGGTGCCAGGTCCTTCTAGGATTAACCCTTTCTGCTGTAAACATAGCAGAATGGGTTAATCCAGCCTCTAGTGGCTGTCTCATTGACAGCCGCTAGTGGCGCTTCCACGCTTCTCACTGTGATTTTCACAGTGAGAAGACGCCAGCGTCCATATAAAGCATTGAGAATGCTTTCCTATGGACTGGCTGAATGCGCACGCGGCTCTTGCCGCGCATGCGCATTTAGCCGATGATGGCGAAAAGGAGGAGGAGAGTTCCCTGCGCCGAGGGAGCCTAGCGGGGGAAAACAGGTAAGATTTAACCCCTTCCACCCCCTAGAGCCCTGAGGGTGGTGGGGACATAGAGACCCTATAGTGCCAGGAAAACGAGTATGTTTTCCTGACACTATAGTGGTCCTTTAATTATGTGTCACATATTATTAAAAAATGAAAACGAAAACACAAGGTTTCACTGTTTTGGCAATAATAACAGGTGCATAATTTAAAAAAACAAAACGTATTTGTTCTGATTTACAGAATACATAATATGTCCAGGATCTCGGTTTTAGAATTTGGTACGTTTGTCGTGTAAGCTTTAAGGGACACTATAGTCACCAGAACCACTACAGCATAATGTAGTGGTTCTGGCAGGGCTGTTGACAGACTATTTTGCGTCCTAGGCATGACCAGCTACTTGCCCTCATAAAACGACCAACTTTAAGTGTTCCTTTATGAGGAATCACAGAAAACAAAATTGCCACACAAAAGTATATATTTATATATAGTAGACATCACATGCTATTTTTCTATGGGTATTTTACAGAGACATTTAAAGCGTTACTCCAAGTACCATGACCACTTCTGCTTTTAAAAGTGGTCATGGTGGTAGTAAACTGGATGTGCAGTGTTTCAGCTTGAAATACTGCACATCCAGAGTTATTGGCAACTGTATGCCAGGGACTAGTTGCGGGCTGCCTAATGTCCACCCCTCTCCTTGTCTGTAGTCTTTCCCTTCCCTATGCAATTTGGTAATATTTGGCTACTGACCTTTACCTTCCCTTAGCCGGATCAGAGCGTGCACATGCTCTCTGAGTAAATGGTCCAATCAAAGTCTTCCCTATGAAAAGCCTTTGATTGAACCTCTGCACGCCTCCCATGATGTCATAAGAGGGCGTGCCAAGCACCCAGCGCTGGATGAAGGTAAATAAAACATATATTGAAAGTTTTTTGATCGTCTTTTAGTGGGGGGACTTAAAGAATAACGCCACTCTCTGCTATATAGTGCAGTAAAGATGTATTTTTTTCAGATTTTTTACATATACACATATAACAAGGTTTTCCCAGATATAGACCATGGCAGCACTACAGATGGGTATAGCATTTTGGGGCGTTGTAGCAGTTTGACAGTTCAAATTACCTCATAAATGCATACAGTTTTCCCAAGCAGACACTACTGGGTATGCCATACTGTATATTTTGAGCCATTTTAGCACCAGTTTATGTTGACGTTTGTGGAGTTATTTTATTTACGCATGGTTCAGACATGCATGTTTCTATGGCAACGTCTCCACCTCTCCACAAATAAGCCCCATTTCTTTTTATAATAGAATGCTTTGACAGTTTGATGGGTGACAATAGGGGTATGTATGGAGAGGTGACTGTGTTCAGACACACTTTGTGTTGTCTTGGCTGTGTGCTTGTGGTCATTATGGTGCTTATGGTCATTATCCTGACCAGCTTTTCATGCCAGGAAGACAAATCGTTTTCCTGGCACTGCAGGTACCCTCTCCCATCCCCGGTTGCTGAAAGGGTCAAAACCCATTCAGTGACTGACCTGAGGCAGCGCCGATGTCCCTTGGCGCTGCTTCTGGGTCCACCCACGCTCCTCCCCGTCACCACGTCATCCGGCGGGGTAGACCTAATGCGCATGCTTTCCTATGGGGGTTTTAGCGACGCTGGAGGTCCTCACACAGCGTGAGGACGTCCAGCGACGCTACAGTACAGAAAACCTGTGCTATGAAGCAGGAAGTGCCCTCTAGTGGCTGTCTACTAGACAGCCACTAGAGGAGCAGTTAACCCTGCAAGGTAATTCGGGATTATTCGAACTTTTAGTGACCGAATAATCTAAATTTTATTAAAGACAGGAGGCAAATATTTGCTTATCTTTCTTTACTGTAACTCCCAGCAGCAAAGAAACAGTTAACAATCAGTGTAAAAAAGTTTAACCAATCTGCATGCATCACAGTAATATAAACTGCCATCAGGCTCCTCCCAATTCCTCTTTCTTGATGTAGCCGAACAGCCGTAGAGTCAACCATGTAAACGTAGAACCATTAGAACGATGAGTAGGTAACGGTGTAAGTATCCGATAGGATGAAAACAGTGCTCAACCCGTGGGGGAGACTTGAGACAGAGATGACGAGTGATCTTCACACTAAGAGGAAAGAGAAACATTGTGAAAGTATAGTCTCTTTGGCAAGAGAAAAATCAAATTAAAATGCAATGAAACTAACGTCCAATTTAAATGCAAGCTTTAACATATAATAATTAACTTTCTGGTGTCTTGGGCAAGTGAAAACCAAATTAAAATGCAATGAAACTAACGTCCAATTTGAATGAAAGCTTAACATATAATAATGAACTGACAAGTATAGGCTAGAAAAATGTTGAGAGAATGCTAGCCACCTAGTTAGAGATGGAGGTACTAAGAGATACTTACCTATTAGGGTGCGTAAAGATATTCCAGGGTGGGAAAATATTCACCTCCTGTCTTTGATAAAATTTAAATTATTCGGTCACTAAAAAAGTTAGAATAATCCCGAATTTTATGGCAAGACAGGAGGCTTCATATTTGCTATTTTAACGCGTAGATAACACCGACAAAGAAACGTGTGGAGGTACGGAAAGTGGATTCTCTAGACCAATCGGCGGAGGATAAAATCTCCGCCAGGGAACCTCCAGCTAAGAATACAGAGGAGGCGGCCGCGCCTCTAACCGAGTTAGCCCCGAAAGACGGATCAATGCCAGCCAGGGCTAGTAGCCATTTAATCCACCGAGCAATGGTAGGGCACGAGACTGGTTTGTGTGGTCGCACATAAAACACCAGGAGGGGCCCAGTAGGTGCCCTAAGAGGGGTAGTGCGAGAGATATAGTGTCTTATGCAATGAGCTATGCAGAGAAGGAGTTTCTCCGAAAAATAGGGGTAGCTCACTGTAGATGAATTGGTCTTGGTGCGTCTAGTGATGTGAAAGTGCACCCCTTCCGGTGTGAGAGCAAGGGCATGAAAGTCGAAAGCCCTGATGTCAGAGACTCTTCAGAAGGAGACCAAGCAAAGGAGGAGAGCTAATTTGGCTGACAATTGGTGTAGGGAGAGCGCCTCGTTGTCCGGCCAAGCTTCTAAGAACGTGAGCGTGATGGCCACGTCCCAGAATTGATTATATTTGGGAGCCAGAGGTCTAGCGATGCGGATGCCCCGCAAGAGTCTACACACAGAAGGGTGTTTGCCTACTGAAGAACTTTCAATAGGAACGTGCGCTGCAGAAATAGCAGGTCGAAACACGTTAATAGTCCAGTAGGATTTACCCTGGTCCAACAGAGACAACAGGAAATTGATAATATTAATTATAGATGTTGAAAAGGGATCAAAGTTCCTTTCCAAACTCCAGAGACGCCATGCAGAGATGTAAGAGCGTCTGGTTCCTGGGGCCCATGAATCCCAAAGGTGTCCCTGAGCAGTTGTCGAAAGGCCTGAGACATTCCAAGATCCCCTGAAACGGTCCAAGCCACTAGTCGGAGATGATCCTGGATTGCCAATGGGTGAATGGAGGATTGTGCTTTTGTCAGCGTAGTAAATACAGAGACGTGTCTCCGAATAACATGCCTTGAGCCTCTGGACCAAGTTCTTTAATGCCCAATTCGGCAAGCTTATCATCGATTTTATAAAGGACGGCCTTCCGCCGTTCTGTCGAGATCGCCACATTGGCATTGCCTAAAAGGCATAAAGCCCTTTGTGCCCACTCTCGCACCATATGTGCGTCAAATGTGCCACCTGATAAAGCCTTGTCTGCTATAATGAAAATTTGTATAAGCGGGCCCGCCACATCCATCAACTTATGTGGCTTTCAGACCCTGTTCTAGACCCTTACGGGGGTCTTTCCCTGACTTGGTCAGAAAGGTAACAAGGGGCCACCTTGTCTGGGATAATTGG